ATAGGATTTCCCAGCAAGAATACTGGAGTGGGTTGCTGTGCCCTCCTCCAGGGGATCTTTCTGACCCAGGGATCAAACTTGTGTCTCCTGCATAAGAATTTGATTTATAATAACACCAAAAAGAACAAAAGACTTAGGAATGAATTTAACTAAAAAAGCCAAGACTTATACAATGATAACTAAAAACAAAACAAAAACCAAAAAACACAACAGCATTGAAAGAAATTAAAGAACCACATAAAGGATATCCCATGTTCATGTATCAGAAGATTTCATGTTAAGATGGTAATATTCTCCAAACTGACCTACACACTGAATGTAATCTCTCTCAAAATCCAGCTGGGTTTTGTTGTTGTTGTTGTAGAAATTTAGAAGCTCATTCTAAATTTCATAAAGCAATGCAAGGAACCCAGAATAACCCAAACAGTCTTGAAAAAGAAGAACAAAGTCAGAAGACTTACACTTCCAAATTTTAAAACTTACTACAAAGCTCCAGTTGTGGTACTGGCATAAAGCTAAACATGTAGATAAGTGGAACTGTACTGAGAATCCAGAAATAAACTTGCACACTTATGATCAATTGATCTTTTGACAAGCATGCCAAGATTATTAATAGGGAAAGAATAGGTCTCGCCAACAAATGGCGCTGGTTGGCTTATTAGTCCTGGGAGAAGTCTAAAGTCTCTGGAGATAAAATAACTGAGCTCCACCTGCCCCTGTCAGCCTGTAGAAGGCTGCTTGTTTGAAAGTTACCACGAACTTCAAGATGGCAACAGCACAGCAATAAATCAGGTACAAGAGATCTCGTCAAGTTCCCTTGGATACAAGCCACCAACCCTGCCCCATCTCGGTGGGTGGGCTGCCACCTATCTTTCCCTTTACCCCACCAAACTTGCAACACTGACCTCCCCTTCCTCTTTCCCTGGTCCCTAGGAATTCAGGCCCCATGGCCTGCTGAACCTCCATGGAGGGAAGCCAGGAGAGGCTCCGGGACAAGATCTAAAGTTCCCCCATGCCAGCTCTCTGAGCTCATCTAGTTCCTGAGAAATGCACACCTCTTCCCAAACAAACCCGCTGTTTGCGAGCCCATCCTGATTTAGCAGCAAGTTGCCTTGGCTCAGCTGCCAAAACAACCAGCCCACCTCTTGCCCTGCAGCTTCTGCCAGGAAGCGGACACCAGTCCAGCACGCCTCCCTGGAAGAGCAGCATCACCCACTCCCTGCTCCCAGGGGTTCTCCCTGGAGCCCAGACATGCCCTTCAAGCACGCCCACTGACCACCATTCTCCATACCAGAGGGAGGGGTAACCAGAACCCTCTGTGCACCCAGCCCTCAGCACCCGGATATTTTTTGCCCAAGACATCCTTTTAAAAAGTTAAGTAATGCCATTTGCAGCAACATCGATGGACCTGTAAAGAGTCAAACTAAGGGAATCAAGTCAAATACTGTATGATATCCCTTATATGTGGAATCTAAAAATAATGATAAAAATGAGTTTATTTACAAAACAAAAAGAGACTCAGACTTAGAGAATGAACTTATGCTTACCAGGGGTGAAGCAGGAGAGGGACAGATTGGGAGTTTCAGATGACAAGTACACACTACTGCGTTTGAAATAATAACCAACAAGGACTTACTGTTGTGGCTGTTGTTCAGTTGCTAAGCCTTGTCCAACTCTTTGCAACCCCATGGACTGCTTCTCTGCCCTCCACTATCTCCCAGAGTTTGCTCAAATTCATGTCCATTGAATCAGTGATGCTACCTAACCATCTTATCCTCTGCCACCTACTGTATAGCACAGCGAACTCTGCTCAACACCCTGTAATAACCTAAATAGGAGAATAATTTGAAAAAGAATAGATGCATGTATGTGTATCACTGACTTACTTTGCTGTACCCCTGAAACGGTCACCACATGGTTAATCACCTCTGTGTATGTGTGCTCAGTCCCCCAGTTGTGTCTGATTATTTGCCACCCTATGGGCTGTGGCCCGCCAGGCTCCTCTGTCTATGGAAATTTTCAGGCAAGAATACTGGAGTGGGTTGCCATTTCCTCCTCCAGGGGATCTCTGATATAAAATAGAGATTAAAAATAAATAAAAGTTCTCTTCCAGTGTCTGCTCTTGCCCTTCTGTACCCTCTGGGTTGGTGACCAGCCTGTAGAGTTGGGATCCTCTTTCTCAGTTATTTCCTCTGAAAACATGCCCGTTGGGCTGGCGCCTCCCTGGAGAATTCCAGAACCTTCGTGTCTTGGGGCTGCAGCTGAAACTGCAGTTTCCAGCCCTGTTTGATTTGCTTTTCCATGTGTTGCCTCTCCCTGTGTCCTCTAGTCTAAATAAATTCCCTTAGATCAGGGACCTCTTCTATCTACTCTCAATCCTGTACTCTAAATCAGAGCTTTGGGGGGTGGGGTGCGGGTGGGGGCTCTTTCTTGGCGGTCCAGTGGCTAAGACTACGAGCTCCCAATGCAGGGGGCCAGGTTCCATCCCTGGTCGATGAACTAAGTTCCCACATGACTCGGAGTAACCGACTGGGTGCATCACAACTACTGAAGCCCGCACGCCTAAAGCTCATGCTCTGCAACAGGAGAAGCCTGCACACCACAGCCAGAGAGTGGCGCTGGCTGACTCCAACTAGAGAAAGCTCGTGCACAGCAACGAAGATCCGGCACATCCAAAAAAATATAAAAGATCCTGCGTGCTTCAGATAAGACCTGATAAGTAAGTAAGTAAGTAAGTAAATAAATAAATATTTAAATTTAATAAATAATTTAATAATAAATTTAAATTTTAAAATTACATTTTAATAAATAAATTTAAATAAATAAATATACATACATATATATTTTTTAAGCATAGATTTTTTTTTTAAGCAACAGTGACTGCCCCACAGGGGACTTTTGGCAATGTCTGGGGACATTTTGGAGGCCACCGCTAGGGGGTGCCATTGGCATCGAGTATATAGATAAGAGATGAGGAATGCGGCTCAACAACCCCAACAGTGCACAGAAAGGCCCCCACCACAGAGAATTTATTGGCCTCAGATGCCAACAATGGCCCGACTAGGAAACCTGCCATTAAGTACGAGGGGAAAGGATTGAGTCTGATCCTGGTCTGCACCGTGCAGCAGAATGAACTCTCAATGGGTTAAACCCTAAACCTGGGTGCCACCCACCACCCACTCCCAGCATCTGTGAATTACCTCCTCTCTCCCTCTCCACTCAGTTTGTGTACTGAAATGTGTGCAGCATTCTAGGACATCCAGAGGTCAGATGGTCACAGAACACAGATTATCTTGTGGGGGAAGGTCCATGGAACTCCCTAACCCAGGGGTCCTCATCTGGGATGATTCTGCCCCCCAGATGGAGACATTTATGATGTCACAACTGGGGGAGGGAGCGCGACCGGCATTTGGCCAGTAGAAGCAGGGCAAGCCGCACCCCTACAATGCGCAGGGTGGCACCACAGAGAATGATCTGGTCCCAAAGGCAGCAGCACTGAGCCTGAGAAACCTTGGTCTAGAATTGGGCTTGGAACAATTGGGCTTCCTCAGTAAATCACTGTTGAAAACATGGATGGTGGAATACCAGGCCTGCTGGTGACAATTTCTTGCCGAATCTATCTCAAAGTTTTCTTTTTTTAGTTTGAGATAAAATATACATAAACCACTTGTAAGAATGCAGTTCAGTGGCCCTAAGTACATTCATATTTTTATGCAATTCTCCACCACCCACCTCCATAACTTTAAGAAAAATTATTATTATTACTTTTTTGGCCACCATGCATGGCCACTTCCTTCATCTACTTCCTGTCTCTGTGGATCTGACTCCCTCAGGGACCTCGCATAAGTGGAATCAGACAGTATATCTCCTTTGGTAACTGGCTTATTTCACTGAGCATCATGTCCTTGAGGTTTATCCATGCTGCAGTGTGTGTCAGAATCTCCTTCCTTTTAAAGGCTGAATGTTCCATTGTGTGGATGGATCACATTTTATCCTTTCATCCATCGACAAACACTTGAGTGGCTTCCACCTATGACTCAGGCCTGCTAATGAGCAAGGGTGTGCAAATATCTCATCAAGATGCTGCTTTCAATTCCTTTGTTGCCTGAAATCTCTTGAGGCAAGATGGGCAGAAACATCACAGAATGCTTCCATTAGGAAAACGCAGGTGAAAAAAAGAATGCAATTCTGTGCATGTATGAAGGCGTTTAAGCCTCTGATTCTAATCCAGGAAAGATATAGAAGGGAGATTAAACCAGTCAACCCTAAAGGAAATCAACTTCGAATATTCACTGGAAGGACTGATGCTGAAGCTGAAGCTGCAATACTTCGGTCACCTGATTCGAAGAACCAACTCATTGGAAAAGACCCCGATGCTGGGAAAGATTGAGGACAAGAGGAGAAGGGGACCACAGAGGATGAAATGGTTGGATGGCATCACTGACTCAATGGACATGAGTTTGAACAAACGTCGGGAGAGAGTGAAGGACAGGGAAGCCTGGCATGCTGCAGTCCATGGGGTCTCAAAGACTCAGACACGACTTAGCGACTGAACAATGAACCTGGAAGGGTTCCTCTAGGATTCATGCTTAGCCTTTAAATTAAGTTTGGCCACTGCGGGCGTCCCCACACCACCTGATTGGGTTATCCGCATGATGAGGTTATCGGCTTGATGGAATTAGCAGGCGCTATATATAAGAAGGCGCTGCCTTCAGTTCGGAGTAGGTTACTTCGACTAGGCCTGCAGGGGGATTTCGATTCCAGTTTAGGCGGCTGCACAGGCGCAGACTTGGCACAGGCGGTCTCAAGCTGATCGCCGACCCAGCTCGGCCTTGGGATAGCTTTTCCCAGGATCGGTTGTATACCGGGCTTAGGGTCCGCGATCGAGGCCAGAGACCCGACACCTCGAGGGCGGCCTCCGCAGGACCGAGGGACGTGCACCCCGAGGGAGGTGTAAAGAAAGAGGTTCTGGCCGGACTCGGGTCAATCGCCCATCGCCCATGGCGGCCCTCGGCCCCAGCAGCCAGAATGTCACTGAGTATGTCGTCCGAGTCCCCAAAAATACCACCAAAAAATACAATATCATGGCTTTGAATGCAGCCGATAAAGTCAACCTCACTACTTGGAATCAGGCCCGGCTGGAACGAGACCTGAGCAACAAGAAGATTTACCAAGAGGAGGAGATGCCTGAGTCGGGCGCCGGCAGCGAGTTCAATCGCAAGCTCCGGGAGGAGGCGCGGAGGAAGAAGTACGGCATTGTTCTCAAGGAGTTCCGGCCAGAGGACCAGCCCTGGCTGCTGCGGGTCAACGGCAAATCGGGCCGCAAGTTCAAGGGCATAAAGAAGGGCGGCGTGACAGAAAACACCTCCTACTACATCTTTACCCAGTGCCCTGATGGGGCTTCGAGGCCTTCCCTGTGCACAACTGGTATAACTTCACGCCGCTGGCCAAGCACCGCACGCTCACGGCCGAGGAGGCTGAGGAGGAGTGGGAGAGGAGAAACAAGGTCCTGAACCACTTTAGCATCATGCAGCAGCGGCGACTGAAAGACCAGGACCAGGACGAGGAGGACGAGGAGAAGGAGAAGCGCAGCCGCAAGAAGGCCAGCGAGCTGCGCATCCACAACCTGGAGGACGACCTGGAGATGTCGTCCGATGACAGCGAGGCCAGCGGCGAGGAGGGTGGCAGAGCCCCCAAGGCCAAGAAGAAGGCACTGCTCAGGAAGGGGGGCCGGAAGAAGAAGAAGAAGGGCTCAGATGATGAAGCCTTTGAGGACAGTGATGACGGGGACTTCGAGGGCCAGGAGGTGGACTACATGTCCGACGGCTCCAGCAGCTCCCAGGATGAGCTGGAGGGCAAGCCCAAGGTCACCCAGCAGGAGGAGGGTCCCAAGGGCGTGGACGAGCAGAGTGAGAGCAGTGAAGACAGCGAGGAGGAAAAGCCGCCCGAGGAGGACAAGGAGGAGGAGGAGGAGAAGAAGGCGCCCACGCCGCAGGAGAAGAAGCGGAGGAAAGGTGGGTTGGCCCCTCTGAGCCCCGATCTGGGACAGGGCCGAGGGCTGGCTCAGGGGTCTCCAGTCCTGACGCCCCCTCCTCTGGCCCCTTGCAGACAGCAGCGAGGAGTCCGACAGCTCGGAGGAGAGTGACATCGACAGCGAAGCCTCCTCGGCACTCTTCATGGCGAAAAAGAAGACGCCCCCCAAAAGGGAGCGGAAGCCATCAGGGGGCAGTTCCCGGGGTAACAGCCGGCCAGGCACGCCCAGCACTGAGGCGGGCAGTGCTTCTTCCACCCTCCGGGCAGCCGCCAGCAAGCTGGAGCAGGGGAAGCGCCCCAGCGAAACGCCGGCAGCCAAGCGGCTACAACTGGACACCGGGCCCCAGAGCTTGTACGGGAAATCCACTCCTCAGCCCCAGTCTGGGAAGTCAGACGATGACGTTCAAGTGACCAGCAGCGGCGACGTTCAAGTGACCGAAGACGCCATGCGCCGCTACCTGACGTGGAAGCCCATGACCACCAAGGCCCTGCTGAAAAAGTTCCAGACCAAGAAGACGGGGCTGAGCAGCAAGCAGACAGTGAATGTGCTGGCTCAGATCCTGAAGCGCCTGAACCCTGAGCGCAAGATGATCAACAACAAGATGCATTTCTCCCTCAAGGAGTGATGCTGCCCCCAATAAACAGGCTCTGTTTTCCACACACACACAAATAAATAAATAAAATAAAATAAGTTTAATTTTTAAACTATTGGAGTATAATTGCTTTACAATGTTGTGAGTTTCTGCTGAACAACATTGTGCATCAGCTATATGTATACACATATCCCCTCCCTCTTGAGACCCCCCACCCCCCACCCCACCCCCCACCCCCGTGCGGGTTTCATGGTGGCTGAAAGAAACGTTCTTGAATTAAACAAAGGGGATGGTTGCACCACATTTTGAATATGCTGGAAATCAGTGAGTTATCCATTTTACTATGATGAATTTCATGACATGTGAATTGTATCTGAATAATAATTAAAAAACAACTTTTTAAACCTGAAAGTTCTACATGGCAAGGACCACCTCAACCCTGAACAAATTGGACGGTTGGTCACTCTAGCTGTTGTAGGTGTAGGTTGGGGTGCAGATGGACTGGTATTGAGTACCCACTACCCTGTCCTGAAGGAGTCTTGCTATAGACAGATCTGCTGTGAAGAACGGGCTCTGTGGTCAAAAGAGCCCAGGGTCCAGCAGCTTATTAAAGGCCCTGAGAAGTCCTGCAACTGCATCCTAGTTATGATTCCAATCTTTGGAACCATTCAAAGTTCTGGACATTAGCTGCATGCTCGAGGGCAAATCACATAGCTCTGTAAAGCCTAGATTGCTCTTCTGTAGAGATAGACTTCCAATGAAGACCTACATCGTGAGAGTGTCACGAGGATTCAGTGGGATGAGCTCCGGAAAGTGCTAGGGATCCTGAAGGTGCACAAGAGCTTTCATTATTATTAGAAAAAAAAGAAAACCAAAAAAACACAAAACAAACAGAAACATTAGTAAAAAGGTTAATTCTATCTAACTGGTATTTTCCAAACCTATTAAACCAAGTGACCTATTTTCCCCTCATAATATCGACTAACACCCCTCACCTTGGGAAATGCAATTTACTATTAGGAATTGTCCTGGGAGGGGAGAGATAAATTAACAGGCTGCTGTTAACATACACACACTGTGTACATGCATGCTCAGTTGCTTCAGTCACGCTTGACTCTTTGCAACCCCATGGACTGCAGCTCATCAGGCTCCTCTGTCCATGCAGATTCTCCCGGCAAGAATGCTGGAGTGGGTTGCCATGACCTCCTCCAGGGGATCTTCCCGACCCAGAGATCGAACCTGCATCTCCTGTGTCTTCTGCATTGCAGGCGGATTCTTTACCATTAAGCCACCAAGGAAGCCCATCATATACACATTACCATATTTTAAATGGATGACCAATAAGGACCTACTGTATAGCACAGAGAACTACACAGTATTTTATAATAACCAACTATAAGGGAAAAGAATCTGGAAATATACAAACGTATAGCTGAATCACTTTGCTGTTCAGCTGAACACACTATTGTAAATAAATTATATTAATACTTCAATAAAAAAAAGTAAAATCAAAAAGGGAAAAAAGAACTGTTCTGGTATATTGCCAAGGAGGGCTTCCCAGGTTGTGCAGTGGTAAAAAATTTTGCCTACTAATGCAGGAGATGCAAGAGACATGGGTTCAATCCTTGGGTCAGGAAGATCCCTCAGAGGAGGAAACGGCAACCCACTGCAGTATTCTTGCCTGGAGAATCCCGTGAACAGAGGAGCCTGGGGCCTTCGATCCATAGGGTTGTAAAGTCAGACACAACTGAGTGAACACAGCACAGCATTTCCAAGGAGGTGGCTCCGAAATAAACTTCTTTGCCGCAAACAATCCCACGATGAAGCTGCAGGTGTGTTCTCACGGAAGACTTGTGAAGTGAGGAGTCAGTGCAGGATTAGGTGTCTGGGTCTGGGGTTAGACTGGTGAAAGGGGAGCAGTTTTAATTCAAGGCGGGGGACACCAGAGAACACTTGGTCTCCTAGAACCAGAGTTTAAAACCTCAGCACCGAATGATTGCAAAGACAAGTCTTGAAGTAGCATTCAGCTAAGCAGTAGACCATTATACAGCCATGAAAAAGGATGAGATGCAGCAGTATGGGCAGATGTTGGAGAATGGTTGTGATCTACACATTAAATGACAAAAACGTAAACACAGAACACTGAACTCTGTTGACAGTGTTTTTAAAAGGGGATATTTGTTTCAAAGGGGGATAAACTTACACACGTATTACCTTTTAAAGTAAATACGTAAACACTTACCTAGTGCTTATGATGTGCCAGGTAATTCCCTATCATTTGTCAATATATTCTCAATTCCTCTTTGCGATAACTCATATTATTGGTCCAACATGTTACATATGAGTTATCTCTTGCTGCACAACAATCATCCCCATATTTAGCAGCTTAAAATGACAAACATTCATGATCTCAGATAGTTACTGTAGGTCAGGAACCTGGATGCAGCTTCGCTGAGTGGTTCTAGTTCACAGTCTCTCAGAAGGTTGTGGGCAAGTTGTCAGCTGCTCTTATCTGAAGACTCAAGTGGAGAAAGAGTCTTACTTTCTTTTTCCCTTCCTTCCTTCCCTCCCCCCTCTTTCTTTCCTTCCTCCCACCCATTTTGTTCTTCCTTTCTTCTTCCTTTCCTTCTTCCTTCCTTTCTCTCTTCCTTTTCTTTCTAAACTTGTGTTCTAAACTTGTGGTAAAAACACTTACCATGAGATATATCCTCCTGACAAAATTTCAAGCTTATGACAGAGAATTGTTAACTGCAGATACCACACTATTCAGTAGATCTCTGGAACTTATCCAGTTTGAAACACTGAAACTTTACACCCATCAGACAGCGCCTCCCCATGGGGAAGAACTCACCTCTAAGCTCACTCATGTAGTCGTTCACAGGTCTCACCTCCCAGAGGGCTACTGGCTGGAGACTTCTGTTCTTTACCCCATGGGCTGTTTAACAAGCAGCTTGTGTGTCCTTTTGACGTGACATGAGGGACCAGGCAGTTGGCCACCCCCATGCACTTGAGACAGAAGCCACTGTCTTTTGTCACTTAAGCTCAGCAGTGACATCTCATCAATTCTTCTTTTTTTTAGCTTAAAATTTTTTTTTTAATTTATTTGGCTGCTGCAGGTCTTAGCTGCAGCACAGAGGATCTTTGACCTTCATTGTGGATGTGGGATCTTTGATCTTAGTTGCAGCATGTAATCTAGTTCCCTGACCGGGGATTGAACCTGGTCCCCCTGCATTGGGAGCATGGAGTCTTAGGCACTGGGCCACGAGGGAAGTCCCTCATCAGTTCTGATGTCACTGAAAGAAGGGTGTCAGTAAGTCCAGCCCACACTTGTGGGGAGATGATTACATAAGGAAGTAGATATGATGAAGTGGGGATTGTTGAGGGCTGTCTTCTTGGGGGTGCATTTTAGAAGCTGACAACCACTCTGGGGGTGGGGTACAGAAGTGTTCAGTCAAATTCACAGAGCCAGACAATAAACTGCAGAGTTGGGATCTGAACCCAGGAGGTCTGGCTTTGACACCCATGTGCTTGACCTCCAACCTTTCCTATATCTCATCCATGCTCTGGGGCAGCATGCTTGTATACACAGAGAATATTCCTGAAAAAAAAAACAATCAATAAAAACTAAGCATACACATGAAATGAAATTAAAAGATGCTTGCTCCTTGGAAGAAAAGCTATGACAAACCTAGACAGCATATTAAAAAGCAGAGATATCACTTTGCCAACAAAGGTCCATGTAGTCAAAACTGTCAAAGCTATGGTTTTTCCAGTAGTCATGTACAGATGTGAGAGCTGGACCATAAAGAAGGCTGAGTGCCAAATAATGGATGCTTTTGAACTGTGGTGTTGGAGAAGACTCTTGAGAGTCCCTTGGACTGCAAGGAGATCCAACCAGTCCATCCTAAAGGAAACCAACCCTGAATACTCACTGGAAGGACTGATGCTGAAGCTGAAGCTCTAATACTTGGGCCACCTGATGTGAAGAGCCGACTCTTTGGAAAAGACTCTAATCCTGGGAAATATTGAGGGCAGGAGGAGAAGGGGGTGACAGGGTGAGATGGTTGGATGGCATCATCGACTCAGTGGATATGAGTTTGAGCAAATTCTGGGAGATGGTAAGGGACAGGGAAGCCTGGTGAGCTACAGTCCATGGGGTCGAAAAGAGCTGGACATGACTGAGCAAATGAACAGTAAGAAAAAATACACATAACAGGAAAAGGGAAGACTAGCTCTTCTCTGCAGATCCTTTCACCCTATTGAGGCTGTCTGTATGTGTTTACTAAAAACGCAAGTATTACTTTTCCAATCTATTTTCTTTTTTGGTCAAAAAACCCCAGAGGCATAATAAAATGAAAGGATATTTTCTGCCCAAATATAAAACAAAAATTGAACCAAAAAGAAAAAGAAACCAAAAAAAAAAGGTCAACCACATGTTTACAAGAAAAGAATTAGCCAGTAAAACCACAAAACCACTAAAAACTAGATGCATCCAAGAATGGTACGAAAATACATCCTCCTGGGCGCTTTCCACATCTCCTGGAGAGCATTTAGCCTACGTAGCTGTTAAAACTTTTCTCCTCCCCTCCCAGATGGAATTCTTCCTAATTGACTGCTTTTATTTAGCTAGTAACTGTTAATTAACCAGTGCTGTTAGAACTTTCAAGGCTGTTGAAGCTTTGGTGGATGGTTTTGAGAGCCACTGATTGGGCGCAGACCTGAGTGTGAGCATCTGAGCCTTTCAAAGGTAGCATAAAAGGGCAATTTCCATAATGACGGGGCTTCTGATTGGTGAATTTTGTGTACAAGGCACCTGCGTGCCGCAAAGATCTTCATTTTTCTCTGGCTTTCTCGCTGTCTGTCACATTTCTCCAAGACACCAAGTCATTTCCATGGCAAACTGCTGTGACCTCGAACAGCCTTGGAAGGGGCAGGCTGAATACACATGAAACAACATTTTTAAAAAGTAACCCTGTGTTTTCAGCCAACTGCATTAACCACTTCCAGGCAACCGGGAAGCAGGGCAATAGAAT